CTGGCATTCACAACGAGAGTGAAAATTGCATGGTTCGATGCAAAGCATAATCCAAATCGATTAACAACATATTTTCTACTGCGTGAACACAAAAAATCCGTCAACAACCAATTTCTTGTGTAAAAACAATAGATAATACACGGTGTTGACGCCAAGAGTATTTAGCGATGATGTTCGCCGATGAATACAAAAGAGATGGAAAAACAATTGGAATCGGTAGCAAGAATGCCATAAAGAAGAAGATTTCATGCGTTACGTATTGATATAATGATAATAACCGGTGTGCGAATTACCAATGTAGGTAATCAGACGAATGCAATTCAATGAACGGTTTTTGACCAGCAAAATGCACATCATGTCGGTGCATTATTTGCAGTTTCGCTTTTTTCAAGTGCTTTGTGTTTGATGATGTTCGCGGAATGCGAAAATTAACTTTCTTTTTTTTTCTTTTGCAAATATGATCGTTCAACAAATCGGATATATGTTGTATAAGTAGGTGGTGGCATTCTATCGCAATTCTTACACATTTCCATTGTACTATCGCAGTTTGCAGTGATTTTTTGTTTGTATGTACAACTCATTCGAACTGGTAAACAATATTTAGCGAAAAAATAACATTTAGCGAGTTTTTTGGGCTGCTTACTGATCGATATAAATAGACGTGATTTTCGCGTGGTTGAGCTTCAGTTCATTTTTATCGCTGATACCATAACGAGCTTGGCAGAAACGGTTTGGACATAGGGAGCATTGGATTGATTTTCGTGGATATTTTAGTAAATATTGATAACAAATCGTGTGGAAAGTGATAGAGATGGGGAGGAATCGATTTTATCGAAAAATTCGATAAAATTATGTTTATTCAGAATAAACATGGGAACGATTTTAATTGAAGAAAAGTTAAAGGAAAATTAAAGGAAATATATTGATGAAAAAATTTGAAATTAACGAAACAGATAAACAAAGCAATTAGATCCATGTGAAAATCGATTTGATATTAATTTAAAGTGAATTATTGTTGTTTTGATCAGAAACCGTCAGATCTTGACACCATTTTTCAAGCATTCACACCAAGCAGCAAATATTTGCTATTTTTCTGTAAAGGCACATTTTTTGCCCGAAAAATCCAATTTTAACAAAAATTACTCCGAGTGTTACTTGCAGTGACTTCGAGCATTTTCGACAAAACATTAATCTGATTCAAAATACCGACGAAAAACATTAATTCAAATGTGAAAAAATCGCAGAAAATCGAACTTTTTATTTCAAAAGTGAAAAAAGTTCTTTCCAACCATAAATGTCTTTGAAAAAATTGTTCAAAGCCAGAATTTCGTCGAAAAGGTAAAAAAACGACAACAAAAAGATTCTTCAAAAAATCGAAAAGAAAATTAAGTATATGTAACAGAAAAGAATAAGGTCCAATTCATCTACGTATCAAATGGAAATTTCCATCAATCGATCGAATCAAAAAAATCTGTGAAAGTCTCTAATCTTTTTAAAGCCATATAATTGAAAAAATTCTTGTGGAAAAAAAAATTAATTGATTTGAAGAAGAAAAGCAATTAATTGATAAAAAGTTAAATTAAAATAAAACGGAACCATGATTGTGTTAACATTGTTCATAGTGTTTGTAGTGACAGGGTTGTTAAAATATTTTCTGCATATGCGTCACATGGAGAGTTATGTAAAACATTTGCCAATAATGCGTCCGGTGTATCCGTTCCTCGGAAATGCTCACTTTTTCATCGGCAAATCAACGGCCGAATTATTTACGGGCATCGTGAATTTTGTGAAAGAAAATGAAACGCCGGCCAAGGCGTACATTGGACCAGTATTAAACGTCACGCTTGATAAGCCTGAAGACATTAGAACGGTGTTGATGTCTTCATCATGCTTGGATAAACCCTACATGTACCGATTCCTTCCCTCAACCGTTGGCATACTCACAACGGAATGTAAGCGATGAACGACCACTATTTCTTCATTTCAATGGATCTCTAAAATTCTTTTTCTAAAATTGAATGTTTATTCGTCAGAGTCTCAAATTGGCCCTCAGCAGTTAAATTCGTAGCTTCGAAGGGCTGGTTTTTGTTCTGGACGATGCACTTTCTCTATTTTTATATCAAATAATAATTTCATTCACATGCATTTTAGCGTATTCCCTTTTAAAACCAGTACTTTTGTTATTTTCATTTAAAAAAAAAACCTTTCTTTCCATAAAAAGCTGGTGCCTTTTGGAAGCCAATCCGTAAGCTGTTGAATCCAACGTTTAATTTGAAAATTTTGCAATCGTTTGTTCCAATTTTCAACGATAAAACAAATATTATGCTCAAGAATTTGGATAAGGAAGCCGGAAATCCAAGCTTCGATCTATCAAAATACATGCATGCCTGTACACTCGACATGGTCTGTGGTTAGTTAGACATTCATGTTATTATACGCTAATATTGAATTCAATGAACTACAACCAAACAACGGCGAGTTCAATGAACAATTTATTTTATTGTTGAATTTTTGTTTTGTTGTCTATATATCGACATTGGTCTATTATTATTAAATTCGATTGCGAAACGTCGATCGACCGTAATTATACAATTTCTAACATTGTAATGAATGATAAAAAAATATCATTTCAATTTGTAAAAACTCATTTGGGGTTTATTCACATTGAATCGATATAATTACAATTGTTGAAGTTTTGCGATGGATTTTGATTAATTGCAGTCTTCACATTGGACTTTATGCAATTTTGGTTTATATATTTTGTTTTACATATCGAAACATAATTTATTTAAAACTCTGAATTTTCAGCTACAACAATGGGCTTTAATGTCGACGTTCAACGTGACAAGAATCAGGAGTTTCTTAAGAGCATTGAAGCGTAAAAATTTGAAGTTTTTTCTTCCTTCATTTCGATTTCGTTAGCCATAAATTCAATGCTCTTTTTCAATTCAATAGAATGTGCGAAGTGGTCGGCAAGCGATTCCTTATGTTCTGGGCACACTCCGACCTTATTTATCGATGGACGGGCCTTTACAAGGTTCAACAAAAACATTGCGATAACATCAACATTTTAACAAGCCGGGTGAGTAACCGCGCAGCTAGGAGGTTCCGACTTATACGAATGTTGCATTTGCGAGCGAAAGTTTCATACATATTTTGCGAATGGCAGCAAATGATCACGCATACAAACTAAATAAAAAGTCTTACGGGAGTAAGACGAACTTTTCCGCACTGTGGTAGTTGCGTATTTTATTAAGAAAGTTCAAAATAATATTTGTTCGATTTTT